CAAAGAAAACACCCCAAGCACCTCACAATCCATCCATCATCCTCGTCAACGCCAACCAATCCGCCAACTCCCCATTACTCTCCCTCTGCGTCTCCCTCGCACAACCCAGTTCCGGACTCGCCAACTTCTCATTCACCTTCTCAAGATCTAGTATACCCATCACACTACCCCTACTTCCCCGCTTCTCACTCAACCCACTATCCACCCTCGCCGCCGTCGTGCGCCGCTGTATCGCCGCCGGCAACGCAATAACAGGCCGTGTTGGGTCCATCATATTGTTGAACTCTGTGCTGAAGAAGTCAGGGCTGGCGAGGATGTGCGGGGAGGGGATGGCGCGGTTGGGTATGACTGGCGGTTTGAGGTGGGAGTTTGGGTGAGGTTGGGGTTTGGTGGCTAGGGTTGGTGTGTTGATGCGGAGGCGGAGCATGGATGTTTGTTTTGGTTTAGGGAGGGTGTTGTCAGATTGGAGGGGTGGGGTGGCGGGTTTTGACTTGTTGAAGAAGAGAGAGGCTTTTCGGGATAGGAAGGAGGGCTTGCGGGTTGTGGGTTGGGGTGGTGATGTGGGCATCGGGGCGGGGAGGGACTGTGATTGTGATTGTTGCTGGGGTAGGCGTTGAGCTGCGGCCTCTTCGTTGGCTTTTTGGATGCGGACGCGCGCGTCTTGCTCTTGTTGGAACTTTGCTTTCGCTTCGTTATCCTTGAGCTGCTGAATCTTGGCTTCGTACGCGGCTGTTGCTTCGACGCGTTTCCGTTGGTCTTGTTCGTCTTTTTGCTCCTTCTCTTCGGCTTCTTTGAGCATGGCTACGATGAGGCTTCTGCCTTCCTCGGAATAGTTGTCGCCTACACACGACATTGGTGTCAGACCAGCCACGTTCTTCACGTTCGCCTTGGCGCCTTCAATGAGGAGGGAGGAGGCAATCTTGTCATTGCCACCGACAGCTGCGGCATGCAAGGGTGTGTTGTTCTCGACATCGAGCGTGTCCATGCTGGCGCCGCTGCGAAGCAACAGGTTCAAGATCTCCCAATCCCCACCTTCGGCGGCCATGAAGAGTGGTGTTCGTCCCTTGTTATCGAGACTGTTAACGTCCGCCCCGTGCAGCAGGAACTCCTGCGCAACATCGAATCGATGCGCCACAACCGCAGAGTGAAGTGGTAAGCGGCCGTTGGAAAACGGAGATGCAATAGTAAGCTGTGCACCCTTCGCTACCAGGAGTGTCAGAATATCCAATGCAACTTCCGGGCATTCTTCAAGCAAGAAGGTGAGTGGATGCTGAGTAAGAACCGAAGTCTGCGTTGACTCTGGCGCAGACTGTGGCGACGACGAACGCATTGAGCTTCGAGGAATGCCCGCGTTCGGGTTCGCACCTCCATCAAGAACCACATTCAGTATGCTCAGAACGTACTCCGCTGGCATTGGCGGTTGCAGTGTGATATGGCGTAGGACTGCGCATATCAAAGAGACGCCCAGAGCTGATCGCGGTAAAGCATTCACATCCAAGCCCATCGAAACCATCTGCTCAAGGTCCTTGACAGGCAACGTCGTGGCGAATGACGAGACTTCCGCGACAGGGTTGCTAGGTCGTCTCCGCAGTAACCCTGCACGCTTCATCCACTCGTACTGTGCGAACAGCTTCAAGGTCTTCTTATCGGCCGCCACCGAAGGCTGCAACTTGCTCTTGGCAGGTACCCAGTCTTCAAAGTCGAATGTGGCACCGTGCTTGAGCAGCGCATCTACGAAGACGGGCTTGCCTGTCGTCACCGCGTAGAACAGCGCATCTTGCTTCTTGTGGTCTTCGTGGTTGACGCAGTTCCGACTCGCTTTGCGGTCAGCCTTCTGTGCTAGCAAGGCCTCGATCACAGGTAAACCGTCCTCCGGCAGTGTTTTGATGGCAAGGATGAGCGGTGTAGCACCGGATCGCTCGCGCGTAGTTCTGCTGACTCCGCGTTCGCAGAAGGGGCCGACGATGGCAGCGATGTCGTTCCATGTCGCTGGTGCTTTGGGTATGGTGCAAGCAATGAGATGGAGAGGACTCATGCCGTCTTCATCCCAGGAATTGATGCTCGGTGGTATCGTGAGCAGTGGTACGATGGACCATTGGTGATGCTTTACGGCGAGAAGAAGCGGCGTGTTCTTGTCCTTGTCGCCGATGGCGGTGTTTGCTCGGGCTCGTAGTAATGACTGCACCATCCCCTCCAATCCATTGGCTGCGGCAAGATGCAGCGCCGTTTGTCCGTTCATGTTGGTCTTGCGGAGGTCAGATGCTTTGATGAGAGACTCCAGATGGGGCTCCTGGTCTTTTGTACTGTTCGTAGTAGCATTGAGCAAAGGCGTAAGCTCTTCAGCATTAGTAAGATCTGCGTTCGCTTTCTGCCTCAGCAACAGCTCTGTGCAGACTCTGCTGTGCGTTGCGAGATGGAGAGGTGTATCGCCGTCTTGGTCCCTTGCATTGACTTCAGCGCCGGCGTCGATGAGCTGAAGTGCGATTTTAGGATGGCTAAAACGAGGAGATACGGCATGATGAAGCAGTGTCTTGCCATCCGGGTATGTCACTGTTGCGTCAGCGCCCTGCTCAAGGAGAGCACCTAGAATGATAGACATGGTCTCCTTCTCTTGGGCTAGTGGGCTCTCGAAGGTGGCCTGGAGTACAGTAAGGCCCTTTCTGTCGCGGATGGTGAGGTCTGGGTTGCGCTTCAGAAGCGCACTTATCACCGGCGCACCGGCACATTCCAATGCGACGAAGACGGGACGAAGGCCGTTGGCGGTCTCGCGATCCGGATCCGAGCCTTTCTCTAGGAACATCTCCACCAAGCTCGCGTCATCCCTCTTGATGGCCTCCACAAGGACGTTGGACTCCGAATCGCAAGCTGCGGCGAATATATCCGCAATGAGGTCATTGCCTACCGAGAAACGGCCCTGTGTCTTCTTCACGTGTTTCAGCAGCATCTCCCTCTCCTTCTCCAGCTTGTTGCGCTTGCCATGTGCGGCGTTGATGATCGCTACGGCGCCTTGTATGTTGTTGGCGTGTAGAGCAGCTTCGGCTGGCGTCTGACCGAGACCGTTGAGCGCTTCGTAGCTAGCGCCATGTTTGAGCAAAGTCATGACTGTGGCTAACGATCCGGACTTTGACGCTGCGTAGTGGAGGGGTGTCTCGCCGGTGTCGTTCGTCTTCGTCTCGAGGTTGGGACCGTATGGGATCAAAAGTTCGATGAGATCGCTGCGGCCATTCTTGACGGCTATATGAAGCGCTGTTTCGCCGCTGGTCTTGATCGCAGCATCGGCATCGGCACCAGCATCTAACAGTATTCTCGCGAGACTGGCGTAGCCGTTCGCGATGGCGATGCATAACGGTGGTAAACCCAAACCAGCGACATCATTCGGTGTTGCGCCAGCACGTAGGAAATGTGAGAGCGCTGCCTCTCGTTGGTGGTAGACAGCATAGTATATCGGTGCCCAATCTTTCGATGGCTTGAACTCGCCAGTACCCTCCGGTGATCCCGCTGGCTTCCCAAACTTGCATCTCATGACCTCCACCGATGTTTGTAGTGTCGAACCCTTTCGTTTCAACGCAGTCGGTCTCGTCGTATCCCGATCCAGATCAAGGTCGATATTGCGGGGAATTGGGGGCTCCATGTCGCCTGAGTATCTGCTAGTAAGGCAACCGCAAGACTTAGATTTCATGCTCGCGACCTGACATCAAGGCCTGATAAAGCAGACAATCAGGGTTCAGGATAGCGACAAAAGAAAATATGCAGGGTAAAGAAAAGCATCCGGCGTACCCACCGCAGAAGAAAGCTACAAGAGCGACAGGAGCTTGACAAGTACGCTCCCCACCTTTCCCCTTCTTTTTGCCAAATTGGAGGAGCTGAAATCGTGGCGCGCCCACGAATCAAGTCATTCTCGTCGCGGTTGTCGTGCCATTTCGCCTTGCTTACCGCTAGGAGCCATGGTTCAATTACCAATAACGGGTGCCTTGTCGTGCTACAAACCTAATCGCGCCTCTCTGTAGTCCCGAAACGGGTAGCTAGGTGCCTGGATTCAGTCGACGGCAGATGTACGACTCGCATTCTCGCGGAACGGTGCGCCTGGGACGATCGCCGCAGCGCTTCCCTGCAGGCCACAGCGCTTGCTGTCAATCATCTCAGAAGGAATCCCAGAGGCGTTGTACAGTTGTCTTTTCGCTTGGCTTGCTCGCGACGGTCCGCGAATGACAGAGACGCTACTAACTATAGAGGGGCAATGGCGCGGTGCAGATCTTGCTGTTGGGCGCTGCAAGCCAATGCGTCGTGACGGCGATGGACGCGAGGCGGAACAACAAGCAAAGTCAATGGCGACGGAGGACGCGATACTTTCGCGCTCGATGGTCGGAGGGAGGTGCGCCCGGTGCTGCTTGCGGCGTTTCGCTAGCCGACCCACGTGTTTGTAGCTGGATTGGTTCAGGGGTAAAGTGGCCTCCATCGCCTCGCTATCGCGCGCCGTCGTCCTTGGCCAAGCAGACGGCGCCAATGCTACGGGTACAATGTTTCCGCAACAATGTTGTCGAGTGTGCAGGCGTTTATTGAGTGGAGATTGGACGAAAAAGTCGAATTCTAGCCGCGGTAATGCATGGGAATCTCCAGGCAAGGGAATTGCAGCTGCGGTGGCTGCTCCGTATAGCGGGAGATCATCCGCCAGCTCGGTATCACGTTGAAACTCAAAATGGGAGCTGGTTTGCTAAGATCATGTGCAAGAAAGAGTGTTTATTCTTCGTGCACTATGTCCGCGAAGATCGTCATAAGATCAAGTAAAGAGTGTAAGAGGACGCGAAACCGCCGTCCACAGTCAAGTACGCAAGTGCGCAAAAGCAATTCCCGCCTTCTTTTTCCAATTTGTGTCCCCTTCGTATTGCATCATCCTCCTGTTACAGCGATCGAATCGCAGTCCAACGGCAACGACGAGTACGCTGGCAAGTCCTTGCACGTTCAGCCTCCCCGCAACCCCACGTGGCCGCCAACACCACCTCTTAGAACTTCACACCCAACTTCCAGCCAACTTGGAGTGCGCGACTCCACACAAAGCAAAGTGACGCCACGATGTAGCAAGCTGCGGTCCAGATGACCACTCCCCAGTAGTGTCCACCAGTAGCCTGGATGATCGCACCCGCAATAGGAATACCCGTAAGCGTGCTGAAGCTGACCACGGTGTAACAGGTAGCGTAGTACCTGCCGTAAACATTCGTATCGCAAAGCTGGCCGACGCAGACTGGTGTCAATGAGATATTGGAGCCAGATGCGAAACCAAACAAGACCGCGTAGACAATGGAGAGTGCTTTGATAGCCGTAGCTTCGGCCGCGGAGGTAGGGGTGAGTAGCGATGCGGGCAGCCAGAAGACTAGCGATGTAGCTGAGCAAATGGCGAGTGCCGCAATCATGCTGTTGAAGCGCCCGAGCTTATCGGCTAGGAAGCCTGGAACCCAGCGACCGAGACAACTTCCCGCGTTGAAAATTGCGATGAGTTGGTACGAGAATGACGGGCTGAAAGCGCCGGTACTGACCGCAAAAGTGGTAAGGTACGTGATCGGGATGAAGAGTGCCCACTCCATCATGAAGATGCCGACTGTGAGCAGGAAGTAGCTCTTGTGCCGGAAAATCCGGAAATCGGGCCATACTGATTGTCCAGCTTTGGGTGGTAGGCGGGAGCGGATCAGGAAGCAGGCACCAATACAGCAGAAGAGCGTGATGAAGCCGATGATGCGAGTCGCCCATGGGAACCCCACTCTAGGTAGTAGCTTCTCCAGCGCCAGCGGGAATATGACACCACCCAGCGATCCTCCAGCTGCGGCGATACCCGTTGCGTTGCCTCGCTTTTGCAGGAAGAAGTGGCTCACTGCGGCGAACGCAGGCGTGAAGATCAACGATGTACCGAGACCCCCAAGCACGCCGAAGACGAGAAAGAAGTGCCAGTACAGTGTGCAAATCCCGAGCAGGAAGTTTGACAAGCACAGCAGGATGCTACCTGCCAGCACCAACAGCTTGGGGCCGTGCGCATCGAATATGGGTCCGATCTGGAGTCCGCAGAAGAACGACAAGAAGACGTACATGCTGAAGATCCATGAGATGGTCGACTCGGTGTAGTCTGCAAGGTAGTGCTCGGCGATGTAGGCATGGTAGATACCGACTGTGTTCATCATACCCAATGATGCGATGAGTCCAAGGAACGACCCTAGAACGACAGACCAGGCGCCTAGGCCACCTTCCGGATAGGTTACTTCGTCATTGGCAATAGACGTTGATCGAGATTCCTCATCAAGAGGTCGGTGAGCTTTTTCATCTCCAGTTGCAGTGTTGCTTGGGCGATTCTCCTTGGAGTTGGCCGATGCCGGGGCATCGGCGTTGTGAGTTTGGGCACTTGGGCATGGTGACAGTGTGTCCGATGGCGGGATGGTAAATTCGGCGTGAGGATAAGTGTTGACTCTGGTCAAGTTGTTGTGTGGGCTAAGTGATCCTGGCGTGCTGCCTTTTGGTTCGCTGCTCATACGAAGGGCCGAGTTGGTCTTGGGGGAGGTTTCGTCTAAAATGTATGACGATGCGCGTTATTGCGCTGACAAGTTGATGTCAAAGTCGTGAAAGATTTCGCAAGCTCCTGCACAGTCCCCGAAAAGCGTCCTCGCAGCCCTGAAGTACCTCCCAATCGATGATGCGCGCCGAATTTGAATCGCAGATTGTGGTTCCCCGAGCGGTTTGGTGTTGCGTAGTCGAGCTCCCCGAGCGGTATAAGTAGGTTGGATGCCACAGGAGGGGTAAAGAGCCATGACCAATAGACCCACTCTGCCGCTTCGGCAACCACTCGCAATGCGGTATCGCCCGCTGCCGACGAAGGGTTTTCAGCACACCTCTATTCCGACCCGGTGCATGATTCGCCCTAGACGCCGAGAACCAAGACTCTGCTGGACATTGGCGGTGAAGTCAGCATGATGGTCTGGACGACATTGTCTCCGGACATAGTAATTCTCGGAATTGAAGTCGGAGTTGAGCGTCATCGGCATCGGAGAACTTCTTGTGGGGGTTTCCGACCTGCTCGATGATGTCGAAAGCTTTCTTCTCTTGCGATATGTACCCTAGAAGCTGTTCTGCCATTGGTGCGATCTTCTGGGTGTCGTCGGTGGCTTCAAGAATGGAAAGCCATAGCTGCGCGGGAGACGGTGTGAGTGTGGGTGTAGGAGCATCGCCAAACATTGAGTCATAGCGATCATGGTCGCTGTTATGCCGGATATATGGTGCCGCTGGCATTCCGCTGACCTTGGGTGTAGGTGATCGAGTGCTTTGGTTCAGCATATCCAGAAGCATTGTACTCTCACTGGCTCCATCTGTGCCAACGCTGGATGCATTGTCGCCCTTGTCCGAACGACATCCTTGGATGGCTCTGTGGAGCACTAGCCAACTACCGCGGAATCTCCAACGGTCTTCGTGCGGCATGTCGCGGTCGCGAGAAGCATACGTAGCCCTAAGTCTGCTTTCTAAGAGGTCGTAGAGTGTACTGGGACAGTTCTCTCTGCTAGTTTGGAGGGTTCTGGGACTATCTTGGGGTGGTTTGGAGTATACGCTGTCTTGGCCGGCATGTTGTGATGACGGTTCGCTGCACTGAAAACCTTGCGGCAGTTGCGATACGTTCTTGATACAGGCCTGTTGATGCGCTGAGCTACTTGTCGCAAGGTCCACGGGCCTTCCTTGTTGCTTCGATCTTATAGTGTACTTTGCGCGGAGGTTGCGTACATCGCGGCGGAGTAGCTTGGCTGTCCAGCGGATGTCATACGGCAAGAAAGAGCGCATCATGAAGAAGAGTATAGCTATCAATGTGACGGACTGTATCCATGTTAGTTGAGATTGCAGATTGAGGTTTCACTTGGCGCACACTCACCAATATCAACATGCGTTTGAGTGGCATGCGCTTGGTGCTGTGTACGGAGGTAGAGGCTAATTGAATGTGAAAAGAGCAATACACGCGAGTGAAGATAGTGTGATTGGAGTTGAGTATGCGCGCGGTTCCTGTACGAGATATTGCTAGACTGAGAGCAAAGTGACAGTAAAGTGACAATGAAGGGTCCAATCTAATCCCACGTGGTTTGCGCTCGTGCGCGCTTTCAAGGCAACTGCACTTAGGCAGTTCAAACAAACGCACAGCAGGCGCGCCTTTCACTTCCACACACTTCGATGGGAAACCATCAGCGCGCGCACTGCAACTCTCAATACCCAAGATGAGAAGACATTAGCCAAGGGCGCTGCATATTCCCCAACCCTCACCACACGAGATGGGAAAACACAGCAAAACGCACCTCATTCCAGCGCCAACCTGGATAAACAGAAAAGCGTCGGTCGGCAGATCTGACATTCGCTCTTTCCACATGCGTCATCGTATACCTACACCGTCCACTCCACCACCTCCCCCAACTTCCAATCCACATCCTCCATCCAAGCCCCCACACTCCACGCACCCAGTCCCCTCGGCCACCAATTCTCCTCACCCTCTTCCACAGCCTCACTCTCTTTCTTCTCATGCACCTCAACCCAGCATCCCCTCGCCCTCGGCGTGACGGCCGCAATATCAAACGCCCGCCACTTCTGCGTTCCTACTAGCACCGCGTCCATCTTCTTAACGTCTGTGTCGTAGTCGTCTACCTGTAGTCCTTCTTGCACCTCTCTGACCGCTTTCTCATGTCTCGGCGCGGATGGGAGAGGCGGTTGCGCAGCGGCCATGCTGAGAGGGAGGTATTTCGTGTTCAACGGCATTGGTGGAATCCACTGCCAGGGTTTGAGAGTACAGGCAAAGAACGGGGCGCCGCCATCTCCTTCTTTGGTGCCAGGCGGGAAGACTTGCACGGTGAGAGTGGATGGGGGCGAGGCGCCGGGTGGAGTTGGCGGTGCGGAGAAGGAGAAGCGGGCGAGCTGTTTGGGAATGTTCCAGTTTAGGCGCCCGTTGTAAGTTGTTGTGCGTTGGGAGACGTAGATGCGGGATATGCGTTGAGCTTTCTTTGGGATTTTGATGTGTGGCTGGCCGGTTGGGGTGGTTGTTGGTTGTGGGACGGTGAAGTTTCCGGGGACGAGGAGGAGTTCGTCGTAGGGGCCTGTGATGATGTTAGAGATATATTCATAGATGTTGTTCTTTACTGAAGTGCCTCGGTGTATCCTTCCTGCCCCTTTCCTACTCCTTGTAGACGTGTTTAACATCCACAATACCCACCATCCCTTCCATCCACAACCCTCCCCCTTCACACTCTTTCTCATCTCCGCTCATCCCACAAAATAAACATCTCACATACCAACAGGCGTATCTCTATACCTCACAATACACACCGTCCCCAGCCCCCCATCAAACTTCCCCATAACCTCATCATCCCACCCCCCCTCTTTCCCCTCAAGCTCACCATGCACACCCCCAGGCAACCCCTTCAACACATGAAACAGCATATACACCTCCGCCGTGAGTTTCCATGGCGCCGGCGCACGCGCGACAGGATGGAAAGACGGTTCTTCGGGGTTAGATGTGGACATAGCGCGGTATCACGATCGTGAAGATTGATCACGCGGGAGGATAGTGGTGTAGGGAAAACAACACGCAACGGATGGAGATGGATATGGTGATGGTGATAGCCGTTTGTTGTAGTAATACTGGTAAGCGGGTAACGTTGTTGCGATCTGGCATGTGATGGGCAATATGTCCGGTTCAGCCGCGGCTGCAGTCTATCTCTCGACATCCCTTGCAATATTATCTCGGTAAAGTACCACGTCGACTGTGTGGCACAGCACAGCAGCTTACATCGCATCATCTAAGCGCCAAGGTGCTTCGTAGCTGTCAGTCAGCGCTCGGCGACGTCGTACAATTGTAACGACCGCAGACAGAAGTGATGTAAATGTTGCGTGAGGAGAGGGAGCTCAAAGAAGTTGATGAGGAAAGCGCGAAGGTCTGAGCGCTGGGTAGTTGAACCCATCCATTTCGCGTTCTGAAGTGCCCCAAGCTCCTCGTGTGCCGCATCACCAAGATCTAATACGACATACGATGGCAGTCACACAACGATGGATGACCATTTCCTCCACTTGACCGCAGCTCATACACTCTCAAGGTCGCAGTCACCACCAAACCACCAAACCACCAAACTGCTGTCGTCGCAACCATACCCACCAAGTCCCATCGGACATGCGCCCTCTCAAGCCGTGTCCAGATCGCTAATCTGACTACCATCGGTGCCATCACTACCAGCCGGGCCCGTCGCCTATTCGGTGTAGCGCGCCGTTTGATTCTTACCACCAACTTGCGCTACCACGTACCGAGGGCTTTGCAGGGCACAGGGTGATTAGGTAGCCGTGGAATACGCCACCGCATTCGTACAATGGGTTCCCTTGCACACATACAACCACGAGGTACCCTTCATGCCAAGGTCACAGCTATCACGCTACGTACCAGCCATCACATGCCGACGTATTGCCACTCACCGGGCGAAACGCCAGGTCCCATGCCACGTGCCATGGTAGTAGTGCTGGTAGATGACTCGTCCGCCGCTTCAGCCGCCAAGAAACGCTTTGTCCCGCCACAGGCCGCCGCTCATCGTTGTACTGCTGCGCGTCATGCAAGCGGACTGCTGTTTGGGGACAAGGCTGGTACGTGAGCATTGACACTGTCAGTCCGCGCCTAGTTTAGGACGAAAGGGTAGGTGCAGAGCCGCATGACCTAGCTTGTAGGGTCTATTGGTTTTGGCCTCGACACTCCCGCCGGCTGCTGTGGACGCGCACGCCGTAGTCAGCCGAATTGAATTGCCGACTCGCAGCCAATAGACGCGTTGCCACGAGACTATGCTCCAACGACTGGGCGTACTATTCGTGTCAAGAAAGAAAACGAGGACGAACGATGTAGTATTACAGGAAATCGTTGGGAATGGGAGGAAGGGTCTGGACAGTGTGAGCTGACAGATGATGATCGACGCAGAGCCGCGTTACCGGCGATTTGGTTTCATCGACAGCAGCGAATCGTTGATCTCGTGCTGTGGGGGTGCCCACGAACCCTTTTCTTCCTCCAGCGATCCTACTACAAAAGTTCTTCCGGAGTACGATATGCGACTTGACGTACGCACGCACACGAGTCTTTGCCCAATGCAACTACACGTGCATGAGTTCCTCCGTCTTTAATCTCCGCTCGCACCTTGACTATGCAGCTCTCGGCACCCGCTCGATGCCACCCCATACATATTCCAGACTGACTAACTAACAAAAACATGCTCATGCGTAGGGGCGGGTGTTACTGGGGCTATCGAGTTTAAAGCGGGGCAGGGTGGTTTCTATTACCCCCAGATAATTCTACTTGGAGTTAAGTCTGGGAGGAGACAGCGGGCACGGTCATGAGTATGCGGTGGAGTGGGAAAGCAGCGGAACTAGATGTATTGGAAGGTGTTCTTAGGTTCTTCCACGCAGGTGTGGGAGGTTGCTTAGCCGCCGAGAAGGTTTCAAGGGAACTAAGGGAATTAGAACGGCACATCAGTAGCGGTGTGCAAGGAAGTATGCAGATGGCAGATGCATGGCGGCGTGGATGGGTGGACGGATGGAAGGATGTGGAGAATTCAAATGTTCCTTTAGTGCACATGTGGGCGTGTGATGGGTGGATGTGGAATTGGTGGCATGCAAGACATTCTTTGGTTCGCAGAAAGGTGGGCGCGATGGGCATGAGTGCATCTGCATGTACGTGCGTGTTAGTGTGGTGGTTGTCAGAATTTTGGCGAGGCGGGGCGGGGCTAGGTAAGTGTAGTTGGATGAGCGTCATCACAACATAGCCCGGAGATGAACGATGAAGTTGAGGGAGGAACCGAATAGTAGTGTGAAGTATGTAGAGTGTGGTATTACGGAACCCTCCAAGATGTACTTGTCGGGATAGCCGTCATGTCTATCAACTATCTCAGAAAATCGAAAACGCCTGTGGAACTCGAGGTCCTATTTTGGATAACTTTTTGTGTACTCTGCGATAGAGGAGAACGCCGTTTCGAAGAAAGACAGGAAAGAGAGACCCAAGTCTATCAAGCTCAGGGGGATATTCCGCGTAGAAAAAAAAAGACGATTTGAAAGCAAAGATAAGCCAACTCATAACACCTCTGTAATGCACATCGAAATCGTCGTTACCAAGCGCTGCTGCGTATACCGCCCGCCGGTTCTCAAAAGGAAGATGTACAATCTCGAGAGGGATGTACAAGAAAGCAAAATACGTGGGCGGAGCCAAAAGAGTCTCTTTATCCAAGGTTATCAGGCCTGGCTGGTTGGTCTGGTAGAGAAAACCTCCAATCCAGATGTAACGCCAGGTAGATGCAAGAACAAGGGACGGGACGAGTCATGACTTTTCGTGTTGTTGCTGAACAACATCAGCCGATAAAGAAACAAAATGTCTATGGCGAAGCTGCAAGCGTCGTCGCGGGATATCGAAGATCGGGGTATTGGGAGAAGAGTAGAAGGTTGGGAGACGCATTGAGAGCGATCCGAAGAAGTAGAGTTCTAGAACATGGAGGGGTCGATGCCCATTCCAGCACCAGCGACATTCGCGTTCTGGAGATTTTGCAGATTCGAGGTGAGACCAAGCTTCTGCATCGCCAACTCAGGGTTGCAGTGGGGAGCGTGGGAGCGGTGGTACTTGAGACCGTTGAGGTTCTTGTATCGCTTGCCGCAAACCTCGCAGCGGTATGGCTTCTCCTTCTCCATACCAACAGTTCCCGGGTAGGGGATGGATGTGAGAGGGTCGACAATCGAAAAGGTACCATCGTCGTTCTCCTTGAGTTGCTGGTTCTGGTGACCGTGCTGCTTGTGGTACTTGAGACCGTTCTGGTTCTTGTATGCCTTCTCGCAGCCAATGACTGGGCATCGGAATGGCTTGACCTCCTCGGGGAAGGGGAATTGGGGTATGCTCGCGCCGTTGATGAGCTGCTGCTCCCGTAATCTCCTGGCCATCTCGCTCTGGTCGTTTCCGCTGAGCTGGTAGTTCTTGAGCGCAGCTTGTAGCTGAGCCTGGTTGAGGCCGCCGCCCTGCTTGCTGAACAGACGCTTGCCGGGCTGGTCGATTGTGCCGTTGTTGTCGAACGCGCCCATGCCAAAGTTGCCGTTGCCGTTGGCGAAGTTCATGCCCATGTTCATGTTCATGTCCATGCCCATCATTGGATTGAAACCGCCAAAGTCCATGTCGAGCTCAGCCGGAGTGCCCGGGTGTGAGGATTCGGGCGATGTCAGGTTGTGGTTTTGCATTGGCATGGTGCCCATGGTGGGGGTGTTGACCGACGAGACGGTGGGGTTGTTCTGGAGGTTGAACTGCTGCGAGGCAGACGGTGTGGTGGGTGTCGATGTGCGCATGCCCTGGTGATTTTGCATGTTGTTGGCGAGGTTGACGTTGACGTTGAGCTGGGGCTGCTGGTTCTGGTTCTGGTTGAACTGGTTCTGGACGGGGAATTGCTGCATGTTCTGCTGCTCCTCGATGGGGCCGAGGTTGTCAAAGTTGATGTCGTCCATGTCCATGTCGTCCAGCGTGTCCATGTCCTGCACAGTCGACAAGTTGGAGCGGCTGACGGAGCCGATGCGCTGGCGGGGGGCGCCTATTGAGCCGGAGCGCGACTGGAAGCCATTCTGTGTGTTGAAGGCCGGGTCGCCCTGTGTCTGGCTCGGTGCAATGGAGCTGGTCGGGGCACCGGATGTGGCCGTGAAGCCGTTCTGTGGCTGCTGCTGCTGCTGCTGTGGGCGGGCGGCCGGTGCGTTGGCGTGCGTCTCCTCGAAGTGCTGCAGGAGGTCGTGCAGGGAGGCGAGGGTGAGGCCGCAGCATGTGAAGTCCTTCATAAAGGCGGCTTCCATCTTGGGCAGGTAGGACGACGAGTGGAAGGAAGGCGAGTTTTGCACAAAGGGCGCGGGTGAGGTACCCATCATGATGCTGGTGCCAATGTTAATTTGGGCTGTTACAACTGGGGATAAGTGGATACTTACTCGTCGCGGATCCAGGACCCGACCGAGTGGCCGCCCCAGCTCATGCCACCTGCGAAGCTACCCATGTTGGTGCTCTCGCGGCGCCCACGGTCCTTCATGGTGATGGGGCGGGCGCCGCTGTTGCCGTAGAAAGAAGAGCCGAGCATGCTGATGGAGGGGTGGCGCTCGCCAATGCTCGGGCGGCCATTGTTGAACTCAAAGTTGTTCGGGTTGAGCAGACCCGGTGTGGTGGCCATGTCGGGCTGGGCC